TATTCTACTGCTCCCATCCCATTACTAGGGATGAGCTCTCTCTGCTTAGGAGGCCACACTCTCCCTTTATGCCCTAGAGCTCACCTCTAATCTCCTACTCAAGGACACGGGTCCATGAATTCTCCCCGCTTTTTTCTGTACCAATTTCCCCCTCTCTAACTGGATTACTCTATCAACGCAAGTATGCTCATAATTTTTCCAACTTAGAAACAGAATGCTCTCTGGATCCTTCACTAACTTTGTTGCTGCCCTGTTTACTCTACTCTTGACAGCAAAACTCCTCAAGAGTTATTGATGACCACTGTCTTTCACTCTTCTTCCTTCCTTTGTCCTTGGACCAACTTCAATCAGGCTTTCACCTCTGTACCTCCACTGCAATAGCTCTTGTGAAGGTCCCCGATGACCCGTCTTGTTGAAACCAGTGGTCAGTTTTCAGACATCATTTTATCTGATTAACAGCATTTAAAGTAGTTGACTGTTCTCCTCCTTTTGAAATACACTGTTTCCTAGGCTTCTAGGACACGAAAATCTCTTGGTGTTCTTCCCAAGCACACCACACATTCCTTGGTCTTCTCTGCTGACTTTTAATATTAGAGTGCTCCAAAACCCAGTCCACTGATACCTTTCTTTCTCCATTCTCACTCTCTTGGTGATCTCATCCAGTTTAACTTACAATCCATCTGTAGGCTGACTTCTCCCAATTATGTATCTATGGTCCAGACATCGCCACTGAATTCCACACTCATATAGTCAATTGCTTACTTGACTTCTCTACTTGGATGTCTAACAGGCATTTTAATCCAAACATGTCCAATACTAAACTCTTTATGAATTCCTTCAACCTGCTCAACCCTACAGTCTTCTATATCTTAGTAAATGACAACTCCATCCTTCCAGTTGCACAGGCTTGGAATCATCCTTGACTTTTATTTTTCTCCCATAACCTGCATTCAATGTTTCAGTTCTTTCAAATTCTACTCCCAATTATTGCTGACCAGGTTTACTCAGCCACTCTGCCATGCTCACAGCATCTCTTGCCATGATATTACACTAGTTTTTTAACTGCTCTTCCTGTGTTCACCACAGGGTAAATAATCTTTTTGAGGAATTTTGCTATAAAAGAGAGCACACATGGAGTGCAGGTTGGACAAGGTGAATTTTCATTTTTAAGATGTGTAATATCACAGGATGTTTACATGCTAATAGAAATGGTCCAGTAGAAATAGCAAATTGGATAATACAGGAGAAAGAGGGAAATCTGTGTGACTCATGTTGTTAAGTAGGCACTAAGAGATGGCACAGCTGGGGGGACTGGTCTTAGACGGCAGCAAGCACAGTTTACCTGTAGAAACAGGAGAGAAGGTGCAGGCTATAGATGAATCTTGTAAAATTTCTCTGACTGCCTCTAATTTGCTCATCAGCTAGTTTCCTTTCTGTATCAGTTGAGATGAAAAAAAAGGGGAGAGGTATTGGAGATTTGAAAGGAAAGGGGAACGTGTGAAATGATTTTCTAGAGAGAGGGAATGTAAATTAATTAGAAGAAGGTAGTAGGGTTGCGAGGCTCACTTTCAGTTAGTTGTCATGAATTTCAATTGAGAGCAGTGGGCATGATAGTGTGTGTACTCCAGCCAAACTCAGGTACGTACGCAGGAAGCTGCAGAGTTGAATTTAAGCAGCCTTGGCATTTTCCCAGAGAAACATGGAGCAGTAAGAGATGAGCAAGGTTGTCAATGGCTTACGCAATAAAATACTTACATAAAATAATTATAATGATAGGTAAGATGGATGTGAAGGGAAGGTGGTGAGGGTAGGGGGGGTTAGGTAGAGGCATGGCTAAGGTGATAAGGGAAATAAAGTGGCCAGTCTAGCAAGTCACAAAGATAAGAGCTGTTGGTAAGAGAAGATATTTGTTTTGAAAACAGGATTACAGAAGGGTGCAGTTATTGGCAGTAATAAAGTCAAGGTCTGACTATCTAGGGGTGGTCGGCTGAGAAGAAGGGGGCAGGCAGTTTTATTGGAGAAGAGGTCAAGGATTTAGAGGCCAGAGTACCGGGAGGATCAACTATGTAAATACTGAAAACACCAAGAATTAATCCAAGTGTACTGTTAAAAAGAAGACAATGGGAAGGTGCTAACATTGTCTGACCTCTAAGAGAGGGTGACCTGGGGCTCTACTGATAATTACAAGCAGCAGCAGTAGCAGGGAGGATAGGTGTATTGGCGAACTCTTCAAAGGAATTAGGGGGTTTTATGGAGAAGCCATGGGAAATGATCTGAAATTGGTAATGAAGTGCAAGAAAGACACCTTACTCCCTTTTAATGCTCAGTGATTGAAGGAAACCCGCACAGACTGATGGGTCAGAGGACAGGTTTCAGCTGGAGCAAGACGGTGAAGGGGACATTGTGATCAGAGGTTAAGAACATGGGGAGTTGAGATTCTATCGACAAAAATGGCCTGTCCTAGCTACCACACCTGAATATCCAGAAATTTCCATTTTTGAGATATGATTATAAAAAGACAATTCAATTTTCAGGGGTTGTACTAGTTTCTTTGGCTTCTGTAACATAACACCACAGACTGGGTGGCTGAAAACAACAGAAATATATTGTTTCACAGCTCTGGAAGCTATTAAGCCTGAAATCAATAAGGCGGCGCTCCCTCTGAAATCTGCAGGGGAGCATACTCCCCATCTCTCCAGCTTCGCCAGCCATCTCCGGCGTTCCTAGGGTTGCAGAGGCCGCACTCTCATCCCTGCCTCGGCCGTGACATGGCATTCTCCCCGAGCCTCCGATTTCTCTTCTTGTAAGGACACCAGCCATATTGGATGAGGGCTCACCCTACACCAGTGTGACCTCATCTTAATTAATTACATCTGCGATGACCCCGTTTTCAAATAAGGTCACACTCTGGGGTACTGGGGGTTAGACCTTCAACATATCTTTTTCAGGGACACAAGTCAACCTATAACAGGGGTGTTGATACAAACAAACAAACAAACACACTGCATCTTTTATGGAATGTGTTCCTATTTTAAGTTGCTTGGGTTTTTGTCCTGCTCAGTAAATGAGGCCTGCTAACTCAAGTGTTTAAGCAATTCCCACTGTTTGTAAAACACACAACAACCTAAAGAGACAAAAAGTGTTATACGAGTATCCTGTGCATGTGATTTAAAGTCATACAACATAAAAGTGCCTACTGAACCTACTGGGACAGCCTAGTTCACGCAAAGGGAGGCATTAAACTTTTAAGTTGAGGGTCTTGGGGTCTCTTTCACTATTCTTCTTGCTCTATTATTTAAAAATGTCGAACCAATTAGAGCTCACAAGCCTATGGGTCTAAGAGTGGGGGAAAGCTTGCAATAGCACGGTGCCATAATATTAACCAGCGGCGAAAACCTCCACAGAGTGGAGCTAGAAAGGAAAGGGAGAAATGCACTCATCTGGTTGAGCTGACACAGGGTCCCAGAGATGCCAGCCTCTGAGATATTTAAAAGTGCCACCCTAGGTCTCAGCCCCCTCGTTGTAGCTGTGACTTCTCCCTGATTTTCTTAAGGGTCACATGAGTAAGAGATGCCACTCTCCATTTCTTCTGCAATGAAGACGACCGAGGCTACACAGCCATCCACTACACACTGACTAGACGCCTGGCTCTATACTAGCTCTCAGACCCACTGCAGGTGGGGCCCTCAGACTGGCCTGCATCTTGCTCCTGCTGACAGCTGCTCCTGGGCAACTGAGAACCCAGGTCCTGGAAAAAACACTAAGGGACGATCCCAGTACTTCACATCTAGCGAGCAGATACCAAGTCTTGTCTTCCAAATGAACACAAAGCAATATTCAGTTCAAGTTCAAGTTGGCTCACTGCAAATTCTGAATTGGTGAAGTCAAAGTTAACAAGGTTACACTGAAGGAGGTCATCTGAATATCTGACGCTTCTTACCTTGTCAGAATGGTGCTGGCACTTCAGAAGGGATGGTAAGGCTAAGGTTTATTACCTGAAGGTAATGTCTTTCATGAAAGATGCAGAATCCACCTGTTTAGTAGTATATTTCGCCCTCTCCACTTCCTACACAGCTTGTAAGAAATGAGGTCCCTCACTCTATTACTCTAATTGAATTGCAACTTGGGTAATTACACCATAATTAAATAAATTTTCCCCATAGTTTTACCTCACTGACAAACAGTGCTAATCAAACAGCTGCATTTCACTCCCAGAAAAACATCCACACTCCGTTTTAGAGCTGGGTGAGGTGACTTATATTTGGGAGACGCGTGTATGAAAAATGCACTGTTCATAAAATATTTTAGGTATCATTCATGATTACATATGCTTTTCTCAGCATGCGATAACATTCATTTCTATTATAATCTTTCATCTAAATTCTCATATGCACAGTGCCAAAGGAAATAAGACAGGTAATTAGCATTTCTTATTTTCAGAACAATTTTGGTTCAGTTAGCCAGTAGCTGGTACTTCTTCTTTCTAAAGCACATTTCATTATCCCCGGGAGGAAGTCTGGGGTAGGGATTATGGTTTCCCATTCTACAGATGAGAAAATTGAGGCAGGATTCCACAAAGCGAGGAGGCCAGTTACTATCAGTACTGGCCTTGGAATCTAAGCTTCCTCCGGTTCCCTGGTTCAAGGCTCCTTTTATCAAACACTGGGTCACTAGTAATCACTTTAGTTTTTACTAATGAGAAAATAAAGAGCAGCATGTTTGTGACCTACATCACAGGTCAATCATTTGTAATAATTAATGATTTAGCCAAGAGTTGGAGACCTAATAACTGGGTCTTGGTGCTGTCCTTGGACCATGAACCAGAGAGTCTCTGTGTCCACATGTTATTACTTGGTACAGCTCAACTGGAAGAACTGCTCAAAATGTGATGCCACATCTTACAAAAGGATTCAGATTTCAATTTCATTCTAATGACTTTTCTTAAAGGGTTGTAGATGGCTTTTAATAAAAGGTAGTAAAGACACCATCAAAATACTCACAAAAAGCAGCAGTAGCAGGGGTGTTATCACGATGCCCTGAAAGACATAAAAAAGATGATGATCATTTATCAGCACAGAAATCAGGATACCTTGTCATTTTAAACACTGATGCATGGAAATGCTCTCCTTCTCAATTCTGTTTAGCCCTCCGTCAGGTGCAACTGATCTCACAGATTGCTTTGAATTTCTGTTGATTTTTATACTGAATTTATGTAATAAACATATATTGTTTTTTACTTTGTGGCAAATTAAAATTTCATTCTGAATAAATAATAAGCATGCTTACATGTTATTTTCCTTCATTTGCAATTTAAATAAATAAATAAATAAACATCATACACGCATCTAGTAGATGCATTGTGCCCCAACTCTTAACTTTTGCATTGCGCCCGACAGAGGGTGAATAAAACCTAAGAAATAAAGAAGAGGGAGCCCCAATGTTGGCTCTCCCCACCATCATGCGTTAGCATCTTTATGACAGTACTCGTGTTTGGCATCCTTAAAACTACAAGCACCAATCTTCTTAAACTCGTCTTCCATTTGTAAAACTTCCGTTGCCTTCCCCGTCGCCTGTGCATCACTCGGGTGGAAGCTGGCAAGCTTCCGCACTCCAAGGCTTTCAACTCTAACTCGGATAAAGTGCCCCCTTTCAAGAGAAGACAGGTGGTTTCGTCCCAGTTGGGGTCCTCTCCTGAGCACAGACCACGTCAGTTGTGATGAATGAGACGCTGTGATTTTGTAATGCGAACGGATCTCCCCTAGGAAATGAGCTGGGATCTCAAAACTCATTTCACTTGATTAGACTCCATGTCTCCATGGTGGAAGGCAAGTCTTTCATCTAATTCAGCCACCTAGGACCACCTCGGTCCCTCTGCCTCCCCTAGGCAGGAAGGAGCAAAAGATTTGTTTTCTGTGATGACAAGGAACCGTTTGAGGCTGTTGTCGATGAGGCAGGATACAAGCTTTCAGGTTTCTTGAAGGTAAATCTTTAAAACGAGGTGTTGGAGTTGGAAGTTAACATGACAGATTTCAGTGCAAGGCAGGAGATGATTACTTGCCCCTTAGTTCTTCCTTTACCTCTCAGCATTTCATTATGATTTCTACAAGGAAAAGCATTTCATATTTTCATTAATGAATTCTACTTGGGATTTCTGAATGCCAGAGTCTGTGTGTATGTGGGGGTGGGGGTGTGGGGGTGTGTGGTGTGTGTTGTGGGTGAGAGAGACAGACAGACAGACAGACAGACAGACAGACAGACAGAATACCCATGACAGACAGTGCCCACGACCTATGTATGGTATACTTCATTACTTTTGGGAAAAGAAATCCTTCATAAAGTCCCTCTGTCATTACAGTAACTGAATTCTTTTGGCTGTGGCCTAAGAGGAACTGGCTTACCATATAAACATTGCCATTGTGACTTTCTTAGGCATATATGCATGCCAATATTCACACACAGGCTTGTTTTACCGTTAAATAATAGACTAAATGCTTTTGTAGTGTGCAGACTTTTGCAATTGGCAATGGGAAATACAACATTTTAATTTAAGTGTTATTTAAAAAATCTATTTATTAAAACATGTATCGTGGCTTATCAACTCCATTGGTCTCTATGAAACAGGTTGTCATCAGCACATTTAGGAAAGCTAAATATGCAAAATGCCAAAATAACATTTAAGAGCTACTCTCCCTCAATGATATGGAAAACATTCAGGCTTTATGAGGAATTTCTAACTTTACAAGGTCATGTGGAAATGAAAATATCTGTCTGTTTCAGTCTATGTGAGACGCAGCTGATTTCAAGTCAACTTGTTTAAACATTTATTATACACACATACATATGTGTATATATATGCACATACATATATATAAATGAATATATATATATTTGTACATGCAGAGAGTGCAAAAAAATGCATATACATTTTAAGAAAGGAAAAACCTTTATTAAAATTGTAATACTCAATATATACCAATAACAGAAGATGAATGCAAGTCAAGTTTGACTTCTCCATTTACAAGAGGTGCTTAAAGCGGTTACCATCAGCGTAATTTTAATACAGTTTTTTTCCTTTCTTAAAATGTGTATAAATTTTTTTGGCTCTCTCTCTCTATATATATATAGATATCTATATCTATATCTATATCTATCTATATATATTGGGTTGTCGGAAAAGTCATGATGTATTTTTCTATGTTTTTCGTTGCAAAAATGCGTCATGACTTTTCTGACAACTACACACACACACACACACACACACACACACACACATTTATATGCCTGACACTGTTCTATTAATTAGAAGAATTAATGAAAGCCGACCCAGCAGGAAGGGGGTACAGATATTCCAGGAAGAGGGAAAGGAATTCACACAGATCTGACTTCGAGCAGGGTGGGAAGGCAAGTGGAAAGGGGATGGACCAGGGAGCAGGTCGCCTCACACCCTGTCACCAGAATGGGGAGCTTGGAGCTGATCCTATCAACAATGGCAAACTACTGAAGAACTTAAAGCGAGGGTACAATGAGTTGGTAAATAATTTAGTATATGGAGAACGGATTTGACTTAGCTTATAAAATAACCAGTTTTACCTTTGTTACCTATCAATTCACCTAAATTCAGATAAAAAATATATAAACTTAAATTAATGTTAATTTTGGAATATCAATAACACTAGTGACATTTCTGAGAAATAAGGTATGATAACTGTGATAAGGGTTTTCACCCAGGAAAAAAGTTGAACATTGTCACTACTCTGGGGACATTTGTCTTGTATTTGAGGAGTCGAAGCCACACTGCTGTCATATGTAGTATATGGGGACCCATGTACTTACTGGTGCCTATTTATTTTCCTTCGCAGTAGTGGAATAGTAATTGTATTACTAATAATACCAGTATCATCAATGGTATTTTGCTTCAGCACTTTTACGCACATTTAAAAAATTGACCCTCCCCTTTTGAAGGGATTAAGTTACATAATAGCCCCATTTTATAGATGAGAAAACAGGTTCAGAAAAACCAAGCAACCAGCCCAAAGTCACACAGCAAATACATGGTAGAATCTGGACTTGAGCCTGCTTTGTCTAGCTCCAAATCCAGAATGGACCTCACTATAGCAGATTTCCGCAACCACTACAGTTTTCTACAGAGTCCTGCTTTGGCATATACGCAGTGATTAGCTGCTGTCTGGAGTTGGTCTGAAGTTGATAACCAATTCGTAGAGATTACCTTTTTCTGGAAGGCAGAACACTATTATCTGCAGGTTACCCTAACTGAATATTTCAAGTGTATATTCACTGAGACACAATAGTTTCTTTGCAGCTCTTCCAAGGATATTTGTTTCTGAAATATGAAAAACTTCTTAGCAAATGGGATGTATTTTCTAATTCTGGATTCAAGAATCCTTGTTATTTCCTTAAAAAATAGCTGTTCGAGTTCATTTACTAAAAATGAATTGTTATATAATGCTGAAATTTGCTTTTCAGTTATGTTAGGAAAGGAGTCAGCCATGATGCCATGAATCCAGATAGGAGTTCCATAATGAAAATTTTGGTGAAGTCGTTAGAATTATTACTGAAATAATAATAGCTAGTACTGAGGGAGTCCTTATGTCAGATGATGTGCTGAGGACTTGTTATGTGTATGTTATCTCACAACAACCGTGTGAGGTAGTTACTATTATTTCCCCATCTACTAGGAAAGGAAACTGAGTCTCAGAGACACTGAGTGAAGTAGGAAGAAGCAATGCCGGGAATTCAATCTCTCTCCTTGACTCTAGAGCCTGTGATCCTGAATGTGTAAATAAAATCTTTGAAATCTTACCCTATTTCCTCAGGGCTATATTTTAAGAGTAAGCCTGAGAGGAGCTTCAAACTCTTGCCTTTTTGATGACGTGAAACAAATTGAGGAATGAGCCTTTGTGTGACATGGCTGATACATGGTTTTAAAGTCAGTTTTTCTGCAAATATCAGTGATAAAAAGGGTGACCTAAAAATTTAAACTGTAACCACAACAATCATGGGAAGCTGGCAAGTCAAATAAACATGTTATTTTCTCTCAGGCTCTGAAGACTCAATTTGATTCCTTCTTCTTTCTCTTTCCCAAGTAAATCCTATACAAATGGACAAAACCAAGAGGCGGCGGAGGAACACTTCTAGCAAAAGATGTTACCTTCCTCCTTGCAGATTCAAGGTCAAGACATAGTTTTAGCATCTTTGCAATTGGGATGGTGTGTTACGCTTTCTGATTGCAACACCTGAAGAATTCAAGTCACAGAGTGACTGGCTTTGATTGTCTCTTAAAAAACCTTCAGAAAATCCATTTACACCTCTGATGTGAACGACTGGGTGAATATATTTCAATGACTTTAGTGGAAAGGGAAAAAAAAAGGTGTCAAATCTGAGACACTGAGATTGAGTCACATTAAAATACAAATCCCAACCCCCCCCCAATAACAACAAAAACAACAACAAAACTGCGAATGCACTTCTCTCAACAGTAGGACTTGTAAAATGGGCAAAACTGAAGTGAAATATCATTTTTAAAAAATTTTAACAGAAAATGTTATCAAAAGGATTTGCTGCAACTATTGTGATCACACAGATACTAACACTGACTTCCTAGGCTTCTGTCTCCAGGATACTGAATGTTAAGCCTTGGAAAAGATGCTTTTTGTTTTTTAATTAAAAGGCAATCACTCAGTTTTTACAGAATGGCAGAATCTGTAAAGGGATTGCAAGGGATCTTAGACCTACCCTGGTCCAGTTCTCACCAGAAGTGTGACAGTCTCTGACCATCTCCCTCACTTGCTCTGTGCCTGCGGCGTGACACCTGCACCTTTGCCAGAGATCCCGCAGGGAGCCACCCTTTTTACTCTCAGACACACACGGCCCTGGCGGAAGTTCTCGGACAAGGAGGAAGCTCTTAACTGATCCCAAACTACTTCCACCGCTGCCCCATCTTCCCCTCGGAGCAACTCAGGGCGCGTCTTACACTCTTTCCTTGTGATGGCTTTTAACTGCTGCTTTTAAATAGTGG